TTCTCTATCTCTCTGTGTTATCCTCAGGAGAGTGAGATATCATTCATTGTCACCTGGCTGAAATAGGGTGCTTTTCTTCAGGGGACACTCAGAGGTGCCCGTTCCTGTTGGGCTGTTCGTCTATGGCTGAACAGAAATGTTCCCTGCTGTTAGCCCCAGGGAGAGGGGAGGGTTGAGGGGGTAGCCACGCGGTGGGGGGAGGCAAAATGCGACCTTGTAACGAAAGCACATGTGCTATGTATGTAATGTTAACAGCAAGGTTTACCCTGAAACAGAGTACCCATGGTTCTATAAAATGTGTCTTTTTAAATACCGCTGTCCCTTTTTTTTTCTCCACCAGCTGCATGTGTTTCAATGATCACAGGATCTTCTCCTTCCCAGAGGCTAGTGAAGATTAGAAAGGAAAAAAAACGCACCTGCCAAGAAATGTTCTCTGAGCTCATGCTGTCCTCCCACACTGACAGAGCACAGACGAATGCATGGAGGCAAATAATGTCAGAGTGCAGGAAAGCACAAAATGACCGGGAGGAGAGGAGGTGGCTGGCTGAAGAGAGTAAGTGGCGGGCTGAAGACAGGGCTGAAGCTCAAATGTGCTGGCAGCGTGATGAGAGGAGGCAGGATTCAATGCTGAGGCTGCTGGAGGATCAAATCAGTATGCTCCGGTGTATGTTTGAGCTGCAGCAAAGGCAGCTGGAGCACAGACTGCCACTACCGCCCCTGTGTAACCAACCGCCCTCCTCCCCAAGTTCCATAGCCTCCACACCCAGAGGCCCAAGAACGCGGTGGGGAGGCCTCCAGGCAACCAGCCACTCCACCACAGAGGATTGCCCAAAAAACAGAAGGCTGGCATTCAATAAATTTTAAAGTTGTAAACTTTTAAAGTGCTGTGTGGCATTTTCCTTCCCTCCTCCACCACCCCTCCTGGGCTACCTTGGTAGTCATCCCCCTATTTGTGTGATGAATGAATAAAGAATGCATGAATGTGAAGCAACAATGACTTTATTGCCTCTGCAAGCGGTTATTGAAGGGAGGAGGGGCGGGTGGTTAGCTTACAGGGAAGTAGAGTGAACCAAGGGGCGGGGGGTTTCATCAAGGAGAAACAAACAGAACTTTCACACCGTAGCCTGGCCAGTCATGGAACTAGTTTTCAAAGCTTCTCTGATGCGTACCACGCCCTCCTGTGCTCTTCTAACCGCCCTGGTGTCTGGCTGCGCGTAACCAGCAGCCAGGCGATTTGCCTCAACCTCCCACCCCGCCATAAGCATCTCCCCCTTACTCTCACAGATATTGTGGAGCGCGCAGCAAGCAGTAATAACAGTGGGAATTTTGGTTTCGCTGAGGTCTAAGCGAGTCAGTAAACTGCGCCAGCGCGCCTTTAAACATCCAAATGCACATTCTACCACCATTCTGCACTTGCTCAGCCTGTAGTTGAACAGCTCCTGACTACTGTCCAGGCTGCCTGTGTACGGCTTCATGAGCCATGGCATTAAGGGGTAGGCTGGGTCCCCAAGGATACATATAGGCATTTCAATATCCCCAACAGTTATTTTCTGGTCTGGGAATAAAGTCCCTTCCTGCAGCTTTTGAAACAGACCAGAGTTCCTGAAGATGCGAGCGTCATGTACCTTTCCCGGCCATCCCACGTTGATGTTGGTGAAACGTCCCTTGTGATCCACCAGAGCTTGCAGCACTATTGAAAAGTACCCCTTGCAGTTTATGTACTCGCCGGCTTGGTGCTCCGGTGCCAAGATAGGGATATGGGTTCCGTCTATGGCCCCACCACAGTTTGGGAATCCCATTGCAGCAAAGCCATCCACTATGACCTGCACATTTCCCAGGGTCACTACCCTTGATATCAGCAGATCTTTGATTGTGTGGGCTACTTGCATCACAGCAGCCCCCACAGTAGATTTGCCCACTCCAAATTGATTCCCAATTGACCAGTAGCTGTCTGGCGTTGCAAGCTTCCACAGGGCTATCGCCACTCGCTTCTCAACTGTGAGGGCTGCTCTCATCTTGGTATTCATATGCTTCAGGGCAGGGGAAAGCAAGTCACAAAGTTCCATGAAAGTGCCCTTACGCATGCGAAAGTTTCGCAGCCACTGGGAATCATCCCAGACCTGCAACACAATGCGGTCCCACCAGTCTGTGCTTGTTTCCCGACCCCAGAATCGGCATTCCACCGCATGAACCTGCCCCATTAGCACCATGATGCATACATTGGCAGGGCCCATGCTTTCAGAGAAATCTGTGTCCATGTCCTGATCACTCACGTGACCGTGCTGATGTCGCCTCCTCGCCCAGTATCGCTCTGCCAGGTTCTGGTGCTGCATATACTGCTAGATAATGCATGTGGTGTTTAATGTGCTCCTAATTGCCAAAGTGAGCTGAGCGGCCTCCATGCTTGCCTTGGTATGGCGTCCGCACAGAAAAAAGGTGCGGAACGATTGTCTGCCGTTGCTCTGACGGAGGGAGGGGCAACTGACGACATGGCTTACAGGGTTGGCTTACAGGGAATTAAAATCAACAAAGGGGGTGGCTTTACATCAAGGAGTATTTCAGGCAGGACTTCACGGAGGGTTCCAATAAGAAATGGTGCACCTAAGTAATTGTCCTTATTGGAACAAGCAGGTTGGTCTGGCCTCTGATTGATACATGGCTAGATTTACCTTGCTGCACCTTCTCTGTGAGTGACTGCAGTGTGACCTAGAGGAATGAGTCCCCTGGGCGGGGGGTGGAAGGGGGAAGCAAATGAGTACAAAACAAATCTGTTCTATTTCTTGTTTTGATCCACTCCATCTATCTTTTACATCTTTGGCTGGCAGCAGACGGTGCAGAAGGACTGCAAGCCATCCACATCGCCTGGCTGCTCGGCAGAAGATGGTACAATAGGACTGCTAGCAATCCGTATCACCTGCCTGCTCACCATAAGATGGTTCAATAGGACTGACTGCAGGACTAAAGAGAATGACCTGGTCAAGTCACTTCTAATGTAGTCCCTGCACCCATGTCTGCCCAGGCGCTCCTGGCTGACGAGGCTAAGAGCACCTCGGACATGACAATGACAGCTACCAGTCCTATTGTACTGTCTGCTGCCACAAGGCAATGGGTTGCTGCTGCTGTGTAGCAATGCAGTACCATGTCTGCCAGCACCCAGAAGACATATGGTGACAGTTACCTGAGCGGGCTCCATGCTTGCCGTGGTATGAAGTCTGCACAGGTAACTCAAGAAAAAAGGCGCGAAATGATTGTCTGCTGCTGCTTTCACGGAGGGAGGGAGGGAACGGGGGCCTGACGATATGTACCCAGAACCACCCGCGACAATGTTTTAGCCCCATCAGGCATTGGGATCTCAACCCAGAATTCCAATGGGCAGTGGAGACTGCGGAAACTGTGGGATAGCTACCCACAGTGCAACACTCCGGAAGTCGACGCTTGCCTTGGTACTGTGGAAGCGCTCCGCCGAGTTAATGCACTCAATGCACTTAGAGCATTTTCTGTGGGGACACACACACTCGAATATATAAAACCGATTTCTAAAAAACCTACTTCTATAAATTCGACCTAATTTCGTAGTGTAGACATACCCTCAGTGTTGTGTTGAGCTAGGTTTCCTAGGTTAGGGAGGTGAAAAGGATTTTTGGGTCAGAAATGATTTTTATCAATTGCATGGAATCAAATCAGATATTGGGAGGATTTGTGGCAGCGGGGTGGTTTATGTGCCTTTGATAAGGGGCTGGGTTGGGAATTGAGAAGGTTATATTTTCCCTTTTTTGGGTTTTTGGGTGAGGGATCCGATTTGGTGACCTTGTCTGGAAGCAAGAATGGGGAACTGGTTAGGTTTGTGTTTCTAGCATCTGTTACATTAATTGGGAGGGAAGGAGTTGCAATTGTAAGAGTAGAGAATTGTTTCAGAGGAGAGAGATTTGTGCTGGGTTATCTTAAATTGCTGTCCTCAAGATGTATTTTAAGTCATGCAAGCACATCTAGAGCATATAGTTAGGTGGCATTTTTATAAACTTAAATAAATTATTATTTGATGTTATTTGGACTGAGTACTGCCTGTGAGTAGATCCATAGCATTTCTACAGCTGCCACAGGGCCTGGGCCAGCAGGTGAGTAAATCTAAATAATTAATACTTCTGTAGCCGCTCCATTCAAGGATCTACTTAGGTACTCTCAACATCCCTATGAGGTAGGGAAGTGTAATTAAGGCAGAGAGGGCAGCTGGGCATACAAGTCCCACTGATAGTGGGATTTGGGTGCTTAACTCCCTAAGGATGTTTTGAAAATTCCAGCCTCAGTGATTTGCCTGGGGTTTTACAGTCTGTGGCAAAGAAGGAATTGAACCGAGATCTCTCAAGTCCTGGTCCACAGCCTTAATTCCTCAAAGTGTTTTGCAAGCATTAATCAGTTGAGCCTCACAGTACTTTCTGTAAATTATCCCCATTTCTCATGTAGGTGAACTGAAACACAGAAAGTGTACACAACTTAGAAGTTAAGTGAGGAAGGATGGTTAAGTGGTAGGGTGCTAACCTAGGACTTAGGAGCCCCAGGTTAAATTCCCTGTTCTGTCAGAGATTTCCTTTCTAATGTTGTGCAAGACACTTCAGCCTCCGTGGCTCAGTTCCCATCTGTAAAATGAGGATAATAGTACTGTCCTACCACAAAGGGGTGTTGAAGCACTCAGACCCCCTACAGTGATGGGGGGGAAGGACAACGATATAAGTACCTAAGAGAAAACTTGCTTGAGGTCCCAGGAAGCCTGTGGCAGAGCCAGCAACAGAACGCCAGTTCCCCTGACTCATAGTTCTGTGCTTTTAAATGCAAAATGATCCTGGATCTTTGATATTTGTGCTCTGCATAGCACTTTAATGGTGGCCATCCTGGTTTGCCTGGGTTTGTGTTCTGGGTTGCACTCAGTGCATAGAAAAAGATAATTAGATTAAGAAGGTGTGTTCTGCACTAATGTTTCCATGTTTCCTTCCTTCTCTTTACAGCATTTTGTTTGCAGACATTGTGGGGTTCACTAGTTTGGCATCACAGTGCACTGCTCAAGAGCTGGTGAAGCTTCTGAATGAACTCTTTGGCAAGTTTGATGAATTAGCTACAGTAAGCATGTCATTCTCTTTTTTTTTTCTTTTTTTTTTTCCTATTTAATTTGAATTGCTTTTTGAATAATGATGTCTTGGGTGGATTACATTTGTTAGAGACATGAAATAGATTGATTGCTAGCCCCATTTCCACTGTGAGGCCCATAAATCATGAGTTGCTAAGGTTTCTTTTCATTGATTCATATTTTTGAGATAAAGCAATCCATTTAAATGGTAAGAAAAGAAACTGCAGTTGCTATTTTTAAAATACTTTTTCCCAATGCTCTTGATGGGGCCTAGTTACAATTAATGGAGGTAACTATTAAAACTGTACTTTTTTACTATTCATAGAAAAGAAATAGTATAGTGGAAGATGTGAATATTGAATCTATAGTATAAATCTATTATGTATTGGTGACAAGAGCTCAGAGCCTCAGTTCAGTTCCTCACTGACAGTTGCCCATGTCACAGAAACTGTGATGGCTCATCAGAGAGGCTATTATGGATGTAATAGATGTATTCTGATTACAAGTATTTATTATCTAGTCACAGCACCTACAGAGTAATAGATGCCTTATGGAATAAAAAGACAGGCACATTCTTTGCCCATAAGATCTGATATTCTAATGGTACAAAGATATAGTACTTGAGAGAGACAGTTGGTGGGGAAGTTGGAAGATGGGTGGGTACAGATAACCAAATGAGTTCACGTGGTGTTTGTGTGTGACACCCATGTCCTGTTCCAAATTATGTTCTATATTATGTACAAAATGTTTCCTCCACAAACGTCCTTTTCAATATATAGTGATCCCTTAATCAAGACTCTCCATTCCTTCCCATAGGGTGCTCACCATCCAAAAACATCCTCCCATGCACTGTGCTCTCTCACCATCCTACCATCTCCTCTCCTGACTCCACACAGCAACCCAGCGTGTGTAGTTCTGCTCATCCCAGGGATTAGCCTCTCTTAATTTCCTCAGTACAAATCCTCTGTCCCTGTGTATTACTCTGATGTCAAGCTTTGAGACAGAGGAGCCGTTTCCATCCCTGCATTCCTTTGCCAAACTGCTTGCTGATAAGACAGCTGGAAGTGTCTCCTGGGTGGGAGGAAGTCTCTTGCTGTTTGCGATACCAGAGGGTGGGGAGGGTGTGGTGACCTTTGGGCCCTCCTTTTCTCTCAGTTGTCTAAGAGAATGGGGCCTCTACATGAGGGTCATCACAGGTGATCAGGGCCAAACTGTGTCACAGGAGACCAGAAACTGTGAAGGAAGACCATGACTGAACCTTCTCTCCCATCCCTTAAAGTCCCCACAATGGTGGTCAGGCCCAAAGAGGTGCTCTGGCTGGTCTGCAGCCTCCCTGCCCCATTGCTGCAGCAATTCCAGCTGAAGTGCCTTCCGTCCCTCTGTACAGTGGCCATTTCTGGGCTTCTCAATTCCTCGCCCTGCAAGTGGAGCAGCTACAGTTTCTGTTGATGCCATGTTTGTTCCCAGGGATATGGCCCCACCTTGGGAGATGTTCTTCCTTCCTTAGCCTGTATGATCGGGGGACAGGGCTTCTAGCATCCACTAAGCCCTTCCCCACATGTTTTAGCTGTTTCTGCAGGGGCTGCCTATAGCATAACAAAAGTGAGGGAGAAATTCACTTTTCCTTTTAGATCAGTGTAGCCTAAAAACTTGCCTCATGTAGCCACAGAAGCTTTTATAATTATCTTTAAAAATTATTCAACCTCAGAGCTGCATTTAGGGATGCCATATGCACCAAACACTAGCACGGGCAGAGCTGATTAGACTGATGGCCTACGGGATGGATGCCAAATGACAATGGATTTAGGTGGGAAGCTTTGCATAATTTCTAAATGCCAGCACAGCTCCATGAATGTCAACCTTGTGTGACAATAAATAAGCATTTGGGCCATTCCTGATGCCCTTTACGCTTGAATGTTTTTCACAATTAAAAAAAAAATCACTAATCGCTATGGGGCAAAGTTCATTGTAGTCAATGGGAGTCTTTGGATCAGGTCCTAGCTCTCGACCAGACATTCAGCTCAAGATGACTTCTGCATTTTCTTTAAAGAACTAATAAGAACAAACATTTTAAAATAAAAAAAAAACAAATATTCAAACTCCAGGAATTCAGTGGAACTTATTCTTTTTATTTTATTTATAAAATGTACCTACAGCAATGGTGTCCTTCGCCTTTGGCCAGATAGGGTATCTCTGTATTGGGTGCCTTCTGATTGAGCAGTGATATATCTATGGTGTGAGTTAGCCTGTCTTTCTCCGGATTTTAATAAGGGTGCTTGCATTTCCTCTGGTTGCTATGACTTCCATAAGAGGAATCTATTGCACGCTGGGTGCTATAGAGGGGAGATCAGAATGCGGATAATGCCTGTGTCAGGAGATGAAGATGAGCCAAGTAGTCAGGTCATACAAGGACACCGTGGGAGGACCCGAAACTGCCCTTTTGTAGGGCCTGGGCATTGAATACATGATTATCATGAGAAAGGGATTGTCACTGCCACCAGTTCTCTTTTCCCTGTTCTGAGTCCTCACCATCTTGTCTTGCTCCATTTCATCTTGTTGACACTTTATCTCCAGCAGTTGTAGCTCCTACCTATTCCCTGTTATATATCATTCATTTCTTGCAAGGTATTTCTTGTCTGGGTTCCCTTTCCCAGGGGCAGGATGCCCTCCTGGGGAGTAATGTAGTGGAAGCATGGACACCCTTTGAGAAACCAGATGAGAAAGTAGATTAATCCTCTGAAGTTTTCAATGTGCCATAGAGGTCCAGCCAGAGGACTCAGATAATTCTTCAATGAAGACCATGAGAGCCAGGCATGATTTAAGTGAGCAAGTTCTCTTGCAATTCCTTCCAACAGCTTGAGGAGACACTAAAGTGTTTCTCAGTATTAGAGTCAGATTCTTGTCAGTGGATCACAATTATGCCTACACAGCTATTTGTCCTTCTCACTTTCTTTCCGAGAACTCAAAGATGCAAGTGTTTGATACCCCAAAGAGAGAGAGAATGGCATAGAAGGCTATCTATCTAAGGTACATATGTGTAGAATCTGAACAGCTCACACTTTTTAATGCATTTATGTTCACCCCTGTGAGCTATCCCCATTCATGGGGAACTGAGCCATAGAGAGACTCTCACTTTTCCAAGGTCACACAGGAAGCCTCTGGCAGAACAGAGAATTGGACCTAGGTCTCCTGAACCTCAAGCTCATGTCCTAACCACTGGACAAACTTTCCTCTTCTAGGAAGGCTCATCAAAGTCTTGTTCCTTCTTTGGCTGCATTTATGCTGTAACAGAAAGCTATCTCATTCTTATGATTTATTTCCTTGAAGTAAGTCTGTTTCTGCACTGGGGCTTATGCAACTAATGAGAACATGATAGGCATGCTTCTCCTCTCCTGGTGTGTCTACTCTTGGACATTCCACACCATCATTCTAGCACTGAGGCAGCATGCAGTGTGTTCATGCAAATGGTGACAATAAAGAAATCAAGAACATAAATCTAACCCAGATATAAACACTAAAGGAGGTATATGGTAGAGTTTTAAAACTACATGGTGAGTGTGGAGCAACTGGAAAGATTAAATCCACTGCCCAAACCAGGGCCAGGGTGCAGGGCTGCTACTGTAGCCTATGGACTAGAACAGCCCAATTGAGCTGCTTGCACTGAATATTAGCGCTATTGGAGCTGCATAAACGTGAATGCGTGGCGCCTTCCTGTTCCAGCCCCATTGTGTCCTGAGCCAGTATATGTAGAGCCAATGGTGATACTCGCAAAAAGAAAAGGAGGACTTGTGGCACCTTAGAGACTAACCAATTTATTTGAGCATAAGCTTTCGTGAGCTACAGCTCACTTCATCGGATGCATACTGAGGAAACTGTTTACATGGCACACTGGGGTTGCACATAAATCTCTGTGAGATCAATCCACCATTGGTATCCCTGCCCAGACAAAATGTGGGGCTTAACGCCCAAGGCACTTAAGCAGAAGCATAAGTTTGAAGCTAATGGGACTACCATGTACTTAAAAGTACCCATGTGCTTAAGTACCTTGCTGAGGTCCGGAGCTTCACTTCAAGGGTAAATTTCATCCTCTGATTGGAGCAGTGAACTCCCCTTCCGCCCCCAACTTTCTAAAATCTTACACACGGTTTTCCTTTGAGAATGAAATGAAATCTCTTGTCTCTTCTTAACAATGCAAAGGCATGAACCAGCATTTGCATGCGACAGTAGTTTGTAATGTACAGCAGCAGAGCGTGAAAGAGGACAAAACCTGTCTTCTTTTTTTTTTTCTGCAACAAAGAGAGGCTTGTAATCATGTCTCCTTCAGTCAGATGAAATGTGCACAGCAATACATGATTTTTTTTCACAGAGATTCTGATCTGCTGATTAGAACAACTACTGCATGTGTTTTGTACCGGATTAGTTCAAAATCCTCATCTGTATTGGTTAAGAACAATGGTGTGCCTTAACAGTCCCCGGGGGGGAAATGCAAAGAAAATCTATGGCCATTTAGTTGCGATGTGTACGGTCCCTGTGACTACTGAAGTGTGATCTGTGGTTGTACATTGTGTTTGTTGTTGGTGCTTAGGAGCCAACATCAATTGGAAGTGGCAACTTGTGCCCACTCTTGGCAAAATAATTGCCCTGTCTTACAAAGGTAATACAGAAAAATGATCCCAGATACCACTGCAGTAAATGTGGTAGGAGGAAAGGGCAAATATTAAAACAGCATTTACTTACTGTGAGTAAATCTTATGGAAACAGATGGGCTTGAATGTTTCTCAGCATTAACATTTTAGTAAGGTGTTTTTTTAAAAAACATTTTAAATAGCACCTTTGATCCCAAATGATCCCAAGCTATGTTAAAATCTATTATAATAATCATTAGGGGCTACATTGAGTCTTTGTTCCTAGCACTGAGTATTGGGTGGCATGTAGTTGGGCATCCCTGAAAGGAGTTCTGGAAAGGTTACAAAACAATATCTAATATTTCTTC